GGCTGCGAGGAAACCATCGAGGCCACCGTGCGCAAACGGAGACTGTGTTTCACGAGCGTTGTTATGCGCATGGAGGACAGCCGCCTCCCCAAACGCATGCTGTTAGGAGCGATGGCGGGGGGCGTGGGATACCGGGGCGGGCAGAAGAGCGACTGGGTGTCTCGTCTAGGAGAGGACCTCGTGGCCTTCAACATGGGAGACGAAAAGGAAGGNGTAAATGGAAAGAGAGCGCCAAGGACCCGGAGGTGTGGTACAACAAGGTCGAGGACGGGGCGGCATGGTTCATGAGGAAATGGCACAGGCAGGAGGCGGAAGCGTCCGCGAAGCGCCAGCGCGCGAGGGAAGCAGAAGCAGAGAGTACGGCCTCAGGACCGAAGAGAAAGCGAGCTGGGGAAGCGGCGGGTGGGGGGGAAGAAACGGCGACCGGGTACTGCTGTAGAAGCGAGTAGGGCGGCCTAGGCAGCACTTGTGGCGAACTATGTACCCGGCTGATGCTGTTGCGCCCTGCTTCCCTCCCTGCTGTATGCTATACTCCTTGATGTATGTCTTTGTATTGCCTTCGGCCTCTGTGCTGTGTTTGTGTTTTTTTTTCATAAACTCCCTGCCTACCTGCTGTGTTGGGTACCGTGATCTTGCTTTGCTGTTGCCTTTGTTTTTGTACGTTTGGCTGTCTGCCCATCTGCCGCCTCTTTGTCCTGTCTTCTCCGTTACTCCCATGCCCTGGTGCGTAGTGCCTGGTGANGCTGATGCTGTTGCGCCCTGCTTCCCTCCCTGCTGTATGCTATACTCCTTGATGTATGTCTTTGTATTGCCTTCGGCCTCTGTGCTGTGTTTGTGTTTTTTTTTCATAAACTCCCTGCCTACCTGCTGTGTTGGGTACCGTGATCTTGCTTTGCTGTTGCCTTTGTTTTTGTACGTTTGGCTGTCTGCCCATCTGCCGCCTCTTTGTCCTGTCTTCTCCGTTACTCCCATGCCCTGGTGCGTAGTGCCTGGTGATGGTACGTTACCCTTTGATTTTTTCTTTGGGCGGGTGTGGGAAGCGTCCACCTTTATTTTTGTTTTGTTATATTTTGATCGGTATCCGAGGGCTCTTTTCTCGAACGGTCGGTGCGATACCCGTTCTTCTCTTGCTATCATTTTGTTTTCTTTCCCCGCGGCGTCGTATGTGCCGGGTTTTGAGACCACGGGCTCCCCATTTTTTGTGGACTATACAGCTGATGTGAGAAACAACAACTCCCATGTACTATTTCCTGTCGCAAATAACTCGTCGTATATGTCTGCAGGAATCCTCTTGAATCTACCTCTGGACATGGATGGCGCAACACTGTCCTGCCATAGCCACAGCCGACGAGCAGCAACAACCCATCTCACGCATATTCACCGATGGCTACTACTCCTGTATGAAGTGCTGTAGGTTTCGTCGACCGCCACCGCCGGCCGCTGGCAGTCGAGTAGAACACACGGAATGCACACGGAAAGAGAGGCTTATCGTGCAAGATGCAAAGCAGAGGCCCGCTCATTACGTTTAGAAACAGGAGGCGGGTGCAATTGGGAGCGTTTTTTCTTTCGCCCGACACGATCCGGAACGGGTCTAGGCTCTCTTGGTTCCCATGTTTCCATACCACGAACACCTTGCAAGACTACCGGTGATCAACGATTGGCAGCAGATCGGGAAAATGCCTTCACCCCGAGAGGGCAGAAATTGCAAGATCAGGTTCGCAGTGATGCTATGATACCAAGCTGATAAGGGGTATTGGTGGGTAAACACCGGAGAGAGATAAGCGCAACACCGATGCAACAACGGGTTCCTTCTCTTGGTGCGCCATTTGAGAGTCGCGGCGCCTCCTGTTTGGCCCCCACCCGTCCTTGCTGCTGCCCTGCTGATTTAGTGGGCGCGGCGAGTTCTGTGCGACACTCTTCTCCGTGAGTGCAGAAACGTTCTTCTTTCTCGCGCGTTTCGATCAAGCTTTCTCTGCTTGCTTTGGTCTTCTCACCTCAAGGTACGTCATTCCCGCCAACCGCCAGAACGTCGTTGCCTGAGACATGGTGCTCTTCCCCTGTCTCTGCTTTGCCCCAGCCTGCGTTCTGCTCTCTGCTCTCTTGTGTTGGTCTCGGACCGGACAGCAGAGCCGGGGGCATCGCAAAATACATATCCCCCCCCCCCTATAGAACCAAAAAAATGCGGGTGGTCCGGGTGCTGTTTTGGCTTGGCCAATCCAGCTCGAACACGAGGCCACACGTAGCACACTCTCTACGCGTCAAAGTCGCGTCAATGCTTTGCCGAGGAGCCATTGGGAGAGGGATTCATTGAGTTAGTGCAACAAGTATGAGGTGTTCTCTTGGACGGGTCGGCCTGGCGGCGACAGCAGCAGCAGTTGTCGTGTGCGTGCGAGGAGGGGATGCGGATCCAGCAGCAGCTGATGCTGCGACTGTTGCGACCCGCACGCAGGGGTCTGCCTCAGCAGCAGCCTCTCCGGCTGAGTCGTTGTTCGAGAGCGCGAAGGCCGTGCTGGAGTGCCATGTGTGCAAGGTGAGAAGGGCGGGAGAGAGTAGGCGCGGCCGTCGAGGCAGGTCGCATCGCTTCGTATCTACTGAGTAGACTGGGGAAAGGCGCTCTTCTCAGCTTCCCCTCCTTCCACAGCAGTAAATAGCAGCTGAATAGTGTAGTTGAGCCTGGCGATAGCGCCGGTGCGTCCACCCAAGCTCCCCCCGGCGACTATTTAATACGCTAGGCCTGCCCGATTTTCCGTCGCTCTTTCATTCAGCAGCTCTTGTGCAGCGCGACATGCGGTTCCTGGGATGTATAGGGTTATAAGAACTCACGCACGTCTTCAATACTCGTCTTGGAACATTCTTCTGCATTGATGTCTCGACGACCATCCCGTCGTGTTGTGGCTCCATCAGCCACAGCAACGGCAGCGGTGTTCGATGGAGTGCTTCATCAATCCCCCTCGTCCTCCGTTGAGGAGCGTGTTCTTTCATCCCGGCTGAAAACGCGTACAAAGCTGAAGCCGCAGCTCTTGCACGAAAGCACGAAGTAGTTGAACCCACATGTGCAACATCTGCGGCTGCAGTCATCAAAACCAAAGCGGAGAATCTCCATCCGAAAACGGTGGATCAGCAGCAAGGACGTCTTCACCTCACAGGCCTGTCAAGTGTAAAGCCTGGCTGCTGCCGGGTCACAACTGAATAGTGCGACACGCAGAGTTTGTACTTCACCCATACTGCATATTATGTTTTGTACTGATCCATTGCATCTTCACAACTCTCAACTCTTGCAACCTCTCGACGTGTACAAATCGGAAGCTGTCTACATGTGTATTGTAGAAGTATATGTTTCAATTGTGTTCATTGCTGTTGGTGTTGTTGTCGATTGACTTGCAAACTGTTGACTACATATCGGCACCCCTGTTACAAGGTTGTTCTATTTTAATCCGTACTACCCAGTAGCTCTCCCTAAGACACCTTTTCCACGGGGACCAACACTTGTGCGTTCTGGCGTGTAACAAGCGACACAGACACGTGGCAGCACACAAATTCGGTAGTCAAGTCGATAGAGTCAATTCGATGGTCTAAGCACGAAATACAAGAGCAGGGCTATACTCTGCATGCTACATGCGAGTAGGCGGCGATTCAGCAGTCGGGCACGATGGTGTGCGAAGGCCGAAGCTACCCTGCTGCGGTGTGTAACTCTTTCAACCCCACCAAATCGTTGCGTTTCTTGTAAGAAGAGAAAATATATCAACTGCCCCATTGTCAAACACGTGCAAGCGTTTATAGACAGGTGGGGTTCACGAGGCACACCTCGCGAGTCGACCCGAGATGCATACAGTACTCGCATAGCGTGAGAGCGACCGGGATTTTCTTGTGACCAGTACTGTACTGCTGTACCACACCTGAGGGATGTTGTCTAGATGCTATATAACCAACTTTATGAAGAGGCGCTGCTGACGATAGGCCAAGTAATCATGAGGCCTTTTTCGTTGGTACGCACGAATTACGGAGAGGCCCGACTGTTTTTATTATCGGAAGACAAACGTACCCATTCCGATGCACCCAATGAAAAAAACAATGCAATAGGGATTGAAATGTTTTCGCGCTGTGTCGTCGTTTTGTTCTTTTTTTTTTCGCGTCCACAGACTTCGCAGCTAACCGGTACCGTAGACGACTGCTGCGTGGACTACAGCACGGTGGACACCGCGACGAAAGGCTCGTTCATGCCCCTCCTCACCAAGCTGCAGAAGAGGTGTGGCCTCTGTACAGCTAGCTGCCGCCAACCACGACAGCGGTAGATGCGTGCGAATACCGCTCTCGGAATTATCCGCTTTCCCAATACTCCCCCCCCCTACCGAGCGAGTTCAGTATACGACACAAGATAACGCTCCCCCTGGACCGATTTTCAATCCTAGAATACGCCACGACGAAGAGGATGAATAATTGAGACGATATATTGTCGGAAAGCTCTCGACGAGACGACTTGCGCCACCGTTTTCGGCGCTGTTACTCTTTCTACTCTCTCCCCCCCCCTCTGCCGTGTCGACAGCGAACGTTCTGACGAACGATCCAGAAAATTTCCCCCTCACGCCTCTCCCCTCTGCTGCGTTGAAAACGACCGAACGTTCTGTCGAACGTTCCCAGAAATTTCTTCAAGTACTTCAAGGTCAACCTGGAGAAGGAGTGCCCCTTCTGGGAGGAGGACGGGCAGTGCATGATGAGGGACTGCTCGGTTTGCGAGTGCAGCCCGGAGGAGATCCCTAAGCCTTGGCTGGAGGAGGTGGGTCAGAGCTGTGTCTTCCTTCCGTGCTTTGGTCTTGATGTGTGTCTCTGCCCTATTGGTCGTGGAGCAACCGATCGGTCGGTCGAGCTATGTATTGTGTGAAGGTCGGATTGACAGGGGGTGCGACTTCTCCCACAATTGCGGTTACAACACCCCGTACAACTTTGAGTATATAGTGTCGTGAATGTTACTTATATTGACAAAGTTATAGAATGACATCACACGAAGCGGCTAAGTCTTGGTTTCCCCCATCTCTGGTAGGGCAAAGGTAAGCAACAAATTTCTCACACAATAGCGGCTGAACCGGGAACCCCTCCCCCCCTTAACGAATTCCCCGTCACCCGCCCTTGACCTGCCCGCGTTGCGACAGGACGAGAGGTCAAGCGCGAAGGGAGTGGAGGATGTGCAGCCGGGAGACGACTGCTCGGAACAGATCCGCAAGGAGAAAGCCTGCCAGGTGCGATGCAACCCCACACATCACGGCTACCTTGCGTGGTATAGCTCGCGGTGTTTATGTACACCTTGATGTTCCAGCGGGCAGCGTGGTTTATTGGACTCCCTGACAAGACTTCCTTTATACATATATATCCACCCGTAAGGAGAGCCTCACAAGGAAAAAGTTTTGTACGGTACAGTCATGGCTCCGATGTGAAAGGGTGGCGTGACGAAGGCCCTCGTCCCCTCTTTTGTCGGCGCCACGAATGTATTGGTTTTCTGAAAGGGGACGGTTACGTCCATCTCACGTTCCGAGTGTACGTGAACGGTGCGGTTTTGAAGTACCATGTATCGTTAACCTTACGGGAAACCATGGAACACAGCTTTGGCGGGAAAATAATGAGATTATCCCAGTGCTCCCAGTGCTGTTCATCACGACACGGACACGGGAGAGTAGCACTACTGAGTTCACGACGCTCAGCGCCCCTTGCACGCCACGTTCCGCGTCGATGAATTCGTTGCAGCCTTGTACGACCGTTACACCGCTCGTTTTGATGGCATGACTGTTGATTGAATCGCCTCTACACCGCTCTTTTTCCATGGTATGGCACACTTTTTTCAAACCTTGTTCTGCCTTTCCACCGCTCTTATTTTGTGTATTGCGTGGAATCCATTGGTTTCAGGAGAACTCCGAGGCGGAGAGAGACTTTGGCAAGGTTGACCACAGCCAGAGCTCTCCCGCCGACGACTCGTTCAACCCTTGGTCGGAGGCGGCGGACGCGGCGGTGTGGTCACTGCAAGATGAGGGCGGGGAGGGGTTCGAGTACGTCAACCTCGACCTCAACCCGGAAAAGTTCACAGGGTAAATGATGGTATTGGATGGTTGGGAGAGAGGGGAGATCGATGTTTTTTTTTTTTGGGGGGGGGGGGGG